GACGACATATGATAAATGTCGCCGCTATGACGACATCGATCGCAATGGGCTAAATATCAAACTTTACAATTTTCTTGTGTCAAATCAATTGACGATTAAGAGGCGCCTTTGCGATGCAAAGGGTTAACACATTGATTCCCACGGTCACTGGTGACCGGAGCTTCCGAATTACTCGAAAACAATGTTAATTTATCGGATAACTGACGTCGAATGAAAATGTTTAATAGCGTAAATAAGTAGATGACAGTCTGACGTAAGCATTTCGGTAGTTTTATGTCTCCTACAAAAGAATTAGCGATACACAAAACTCTGAAGGTTTTCGCGGCAGTCAACGTGTTTTCTACCCCTGTAAGAGTAAATAACCGTTCAAAATCAATGTATACTACTGACCAAACCGCGAAAAAGGTCCAGCTGCCGATCGTTCGCGAGTCAACGGCCTGCTTCGCGTCTTATCGAGGCTGCGACGTGACCGTTTATGCGAACCGTTTCATCTTCGGCCGAATAAAGATTTTTTGTCCCGAATAAATTGACGGCAAAGCACGGCGCGAGTCCCGAATATACGAGCGGGGAGCGTGGGGAGCGTAGTGTCGTCGCCGTGACATTGCGGCATCGCCGCGGAAAAGGCTGAAAGGAAAGCCGAACAAAAAGTTCGGTTCGCACCAGCTGGCCGGCCTTTTTTATCAGTAGTCTGGAACTCCCGTTCTTGTCGACGAGATGTTCAAAAATCGCTTAGTCCTTGCGGATAGGCGGTCGATCAGGAAAACCACGAGCTGATATACGACGGAACTTCCGACCTGGCTCGTCACGTTACGTCTAGGGGTGACCAATTTCTGCCCTTTCCTTCTCCCCGCCGCGCTTTTATCTTTCGCCGAGAAGAAAAGTCACCGAACTAATTCGAGTTTAAATTAGTTTCCCGTTGGAACCTCCGCGAGCGGGAGAAACGGCGAATCTGATGAGATCGTCCGGTATTCTTATCGACTAACCGGAAAACGCGCGAACCACAGTTCCCGCGGAAAAATTCCGACCGGGAGGGTCAAAGCACGAATTTTGTTCGTTTTCGTCGTCTCCAAATTTTCGCGAAACAACCTCTTGCAAACTGCCTTCGAAGGATGGACCTTTCATCCTCATATCGTAACAGCGAATACCTCGGGTCGAACGGAAACTATTTCTGTGTTAGTGTTTGTAGAATGTTCGCACCGTTGCAGGTACTCTCTGAACTATATCGAAACAACCTACACTCGGAAATATTTGAGTTCAGATTCAGACGAAATTGATCGTCGATCGAGTCGTCCGACATGAGTTGCCAGCTGTGTTTCCACATACTTGACACGTCGAAAATATCGTTTCCCCTTGATCCGGAGGGGTTTGTTCTTGACTCTCGTCGCGAGAACCGTCGGAATTTACATTCGCATTTTGAACGAGCGTGCCCGACTCGTCGGAGAATCGAAATTCTCCGTGGATACGCGAAAACATCTTTGTTCCCGGATAGAGTTGCGTCATCGGGGCGCAAATGCATTTACGCGACCGGCCGAGGCAGCGTTCGATAGAATTCAGGGGGACGCTCGTCGCAGGTAAATTAGCCCGCGTTACGTGTAACCGTATTACGTCCGTGCTAAAACTTTATCGAAGGCAAGCTTTTATCCGGCAAGTGGCCGCGCCACGCCCCTCTTGAATATTTTCTCCGGCAGTGACCAAGCTTTCGAGGCTGCTCGAACGAACGAATGCATTATGCACATCCTGATGCATAATTTCTGTAGCCGGAGCCGAAGGAATTCGGGCGTTCGCTGCTTGAAAATTTCTCACGGCCCCCGGGGAGGTGGCGCGGAGAAACAGTACGGTTCGGAAGAATGGTTCCGCCCGGCACGGGGCGGCCGTGTTCAGCCTTTTTCCTCGATTTGGATTCGATTCGATCTGACTCGGGCCGATGCGATCCGCTCCGGTCGATACGGCTGCTCGAAAATTTCTCGGAGGTGTCGTTACGGCGCGCGGCCACGTGAATTCGTTGCACACGCGAGTGCTCGTCCGTTCCGAATGCGCCACGTAAACTGGTAAATGGATAGAAGTGTTGCGAGGGGAACGACACCGATCGGGAACGGCATCGGGAAGATGGGGAGGCGATTCAAAGCGGTAGATAACGGCCGTGGGAGCGAGGAAATGCGGTTAAGAGGGGCCGAATTGCGAATAAAACGGACCGAGACGGGGAAAGTGAAACTGAAATTACGCGTGTCAGGGAAGGCGAAGCAGAAGAAGAAGAGCCGAGGCTGAAGGAGGAAGGCTAGGTAGAAGGCGGTACGGTGTAACGGGCGGAAAGTAGATCGCGGCGACTGTGTGCGAGCGTACCACGTGTACGTAACACGTTCCTCTCGTATTCTTCAATTCGTTCGTCTCCGGAGATAGCTCGACTCGGCAGACCCCTCTGTTTTCTTTCGACATCCAATTTCCATAGCATTAGACCGCTTACACGTAAACAGCCGGCTCGTGTTTCCCCCGGGCTCGCCGTTTAAGATCGTCACCCAATGAACGCGCCCAACGAACGCGTTCCACGCCGCACGTTTTTCAGATAACCTGACCGTTTCGCGCTGCCTTCTCACTTTACTTAAACCAGTTCGGTGTCCCGGGGACCGCTGAATATTTCAAGCTGCTTTACACTTATTATTAGACTGTGGATCTTCACGCGAATTGGAACTTTTGCGATTCTATATATACAGAGAAAACGCTAGGACCAAACTTGTATGTATTACCGAGGTCAAGTAGATGAAGGTTTATATAAACTCAAGCCTGGAAATACTTGATTGGGAAGATATACGCACTCGTAGATCTACGAACGAGATTGGTGCTGTAATTTCTTTCACGTAATCGTATACGTATTATTATTCTCAGTGACAGTGATTATTTACGTGACCTACGGCCTCTAGACCAATACGATCAGTCACTATCGTCTAACAATAATCGTTTTAGCAAGCATTGTAAGCTGCACTTTGAGTATTTCATGTTTATACGTGTCGCGTGCAATTTGCGCAACTTCGAATTCCAAAATTCCCTATAAATACAGAAAAATCCGTTGCCCGTTCCTTATTGTCTCTTGTTATTTTGATCACGTCGTCTTCATTAGGCGAGAGGATACGGAAGAAGCTGGCGCAAAGTCTACGCCAGATGCACAGTGCACGTTGGGCGTTGTAGCGGAGCGCGCCAGCGTTACCTCAGTAGAATACACCGCGCGTGGTCAGACAAGCTTTGCGCCTTTGACGCGCGACGGACATTGGATGCGAAATAATTTGAATCTCGCCAGGCACGCTTTGGCCGACCGAACTCAAAGATCGCGAACGATTCCTTTATGCTTTGGTCCCGTTGAAATTTTCTAAGGGAGAGAGAGGGAAGCGATGGGAAACAAAAGGAGAAAAAATCGAGATCCTCGAATGTAATTGCGGCGCTGGCAGAGAATAGTCGCTTCTAATCCAGGTGACGGTATCCTCGTCGGAACCATAACTCTCGCCCCTCTGCGAAAACAGTCGTAGGTTTTGTTCCGCGACGGCTTATCTCGGTCTATCCTCTTATTTCCTGTCCTGCGCTGCAGTTTTCCCCGGGAAACCGGAGAGCTGGGAGCATTCACGGATCGCGTCGCTGGATCTTAGGCACCGGCGCGACGTCTCCGTAAATCCTCGCGGGCCAAGCAACGAAAACCTTTGTCGAAAACTGGAATCTAATTGCAGGATCAAGGGATTTGTTCGGCGCATTCTTGACGACGCTCGTCTCCTCCGCGAGGGAGATCTCGGGAGCGTTCGCGCGATCTCGATGAATTCTCAGGGAAAAAGCAACGGTTCGCTTTTATTAAGTTCGCGATTATTTTGTCCTCTATTGTCCGCGAGATTCGGACTCGTCCTACTTCATATCGGGGAGATCCACGGTTTCTCTGACTCGATCATTCCCTCTTTAAATCCGATTAAACGGCACGGCTGCAATTAACTTGAAGTAACCGATTGTTGGTCCGTCGCATTTTGTAATCGAATTTAGCTGTAATTCGTTATTACCTTGTACTTTGTTATCGCGCTTTCAACATCGCGATTGTTATCGATCAATTACACGTAAACGTTCATTTTCTCTTTGTTGAAGGATCTTCGCCCGTTGTATTAATTTAAGATGCCCCTCCCGCCTCGATTACCGGCGGAGCTCCTTCGGAACTCGTGGAAACCGAATATCGACCGGCGATAATGTCAAGGATTTCGCGATGGTCGGCATGCGTGCGCAACGCGAAGCACAATTACAGATATCTGCGATGACCTCGATCAGCATTGCGCGACCGGCGCGTGAACTGAATCGATCCGCCGTAACGTGAGATACCGATCTCTAACCGTGGCGGTATCATTGATTTACGCGAGGTCAGTGAACTCGGTTGCGCCACCGGTTACACCGACGCTTTTCACACCTATCGAATCGATCGCGTCGAAACTTTGCTCCTGATAAATACCCTGACACGCCGGAGCAAAGAGGAAGACCGTACTCGTTCCGGCGTGACAGGAGAGATCGCGATTCGATTTTTCATCGCGCGTTCCCGAGCGACAGGATTGTCCCGGGGACAGCGGGCAAGTTTTTAATCCCGCGTTTACAAGCTAACTACGGCGGACCGACGCCGCGTACAGTCGCTCCACGCAGCTAAGATGATTCGCTGAGTTTTTCGATGGCCGAGAGGTTCCTTTCTCTTCCGTTCCGCCTTCCATCAGCCTTGGTATCTTGAAAACCCAATAAATCCGTCCTCCAGTAACTAGAAACACTCGAGACCGCGGAGTGCCCTCTGGAAATCCGATCTTCATTCTCTTCTTTCTGCTTTCTTTTTCAGAACCTGAAGAACCAGATCATGACGACGAACGTTTGGGTGGAACAAGTAAGTGCTTTCACGTCTATCTCGGTTCTCGTTAACATTTACGTCGAGTGCGTTTCCGGTGCGGCCGGAACGATAATGACAACCGGCGGACCGCGAATTTTTATGCAAATTACGCTCATTTCTTTTGCCGCGGGCACCGTTGACACGGCATTAATGCGGGGAGACGTTCGAAATTTTCGCGGGATTGTCCGTTCCATCGTGTTTTGCGCGCTTACGAACGCCACGAGCGCATAAAGCCCGGACGTCTAATGACCGCGCTCGAGAACGGGAGCCAGACTACTCACCCCTCGGCCGAAGCGAAATGCATTGTTGTCGTGTTTTTCCGTTTTCCTATTCGATGGCCGGCTGTCCCTCCGCGCCGGATCTGCCCGATGAAGTTAACGAACCGTGATGCTCGCGATTCGCTAAACAACTACCCGACGAGCGCAAGGGGATGCGCTTCTTTCGTGATCGAACGGGGACCGAGCGAGTACGTTGCGGGACGAAAACGATGTCGGGGAAAAGAGTGGTCCGCTGGACCGGCGAAACGCGATTTTCTCGATAACGATAGCTCGCTGGAGCAAAGAGGAGGACACGGGAGATGGAACAGAGGAAACGTGGGGAAATTCAGCCGGGCAACGTCGCTTTGATCGACTGAATCCTCCTCCTTTCCAACGGGAACGTTTGGAATTTCAAAGCAGTCGAATTTCATTTCCGTGCCTGTCGACGACGAATCGGGATCGAGGAATGGTAATTGATCCGTATTGTCTACCTCTTGCGAAACCTCTGCCTTGCATCGGAAGGGATACAGGCCTACCCGATCACCGACTTCCGCATCGCTGTCCGAAATATTCGACGTCTCATCGGATCTCCGTGGATCGTGTTCTCAACCGCACGCACTGTAACCCGATTTCAATTTCAAAATTATCGAATGGATCCAGCTGGATCTTTGAAGTTCGTTTGAAGTGCGTTCGTGAAACAGTATTCCTAGTCGTTCACAAAATCCGCTACGATCGAGAAGAAGAATTCTCGATCGTCTGAGTTCGGCTAATGTTTTGCGGGGGTGTTCGCTGGAATCAGCTTTCGATCAATTGGCAGAGCACTGGCTTTTGCTTTTTATCTCGGTATTCTTCTCTCGCTTGGCTCCGGTCTCGATCGTTTGTCCGCGTCGATAGACCTAGCGCCTCTTTTTCTTGCATCGGCCGTGGAAGAGCGATGCTTGCCAAGCGGACAACTACAAGGTAGCGAGGGAAGACGTCTCGTGTCGCGGCGTCCCCTCGCCCAGGATGCTCTGCCAACAAAAGTGCCTGCTCTTTCCTGGAACGACCGACGATTGTTTGCGATCGTTGAACGACAAACGAGCTTTCTTCCGCGGGTGTGGGATGCTTTCGAAAGTCCTGCCCCGTCAGGACACGTCGATCGGAGCGACGATCGCAGCGAAACGCGAAACGCGTTCTTTTCTTTTACAACAGAAGCATTCACGTCGAGGCGGCAGTTAGAGCTGCGTTCGGTATTTGGCCAACGATACGAAAAATATACATTTTCAATTATTCCTTAGAATTTACTCATCGTAACGATCGTAAAAGTCGAAATGACCGAACAAAGATATTTCATCGGTCCGTTAGACACGCAACTTCCCTGGTTTCCATCAAACTGTGCCGTAAACGTACTTTAAATGCGTTCCATTCAGTGAATAATTGAACGCCGAACGAGAAACGCGTTGCAGCGCAACCGATAAATCGCACTCGGCAACTATTGCTGGGGACGACGCGTTGAATCGTTGACACGTGTTTTCGGGAGACGCCGCGTGTAGGCATCGCGCAAAATCAGATCGGCACGTTCTCGTTTTCGTCAGGCCCCCGTTTGCACTCGACGTCTGCGGACGACGAAATAAGCTGGCAATCTTCGACGTGCTCGAACCCTGCGCCGTCTTTCGCGGTTGCGAATTTCCTCTCTGGAATTCGGGACGCGTATCTTTTCACGCGGCAGGGATCTGCCGAAAATCCTCGGAGTAGACCGCGGCTGCGGCAACTCGGTGGCGCAGGAAGTACGCAAATTTCCAGATATCCGTGAGTTTAAAGGGTTACACGAAGGCTTCGACAAGCCCGCAGCAGCAACGGCGGCGGCGATGGCGGCGGCAGCGGGGCCCGTCCCTAAATCGAGCGCAATTTCGGCCGCCGCGCTCGAAAGCCGAGTCTTCGGGGCCGATAGCTTTCCGATAACATGACAGCTTCCGCTCCGCTCGCGAGGATACGCTAAGCGAGCTCCGACAACCGAGCTAAAGGCTCCGCGTTCCGACAACGCCTACCATCGATTTTCACTTTATATTCGCGGCACTATTTTCACTGCGGTTTGCTGCGTCGTTGCCGGCCACCGATCGCCTATAAAAATATCGGATCCGGCTTTTTTTACGTTCGCCTCCGGCGCGAAGTTTCTTTGTTGCGTCATTTATTTTTGTTACCGCGACGTTTATTACGGGTATCTCGCTCGTGGGATTCCAGCCGGCGGAAAGTGTCGCGCGTGTCCGCAAACGCCCCGAGATTGCTGTCCGGTAGCATTGTGGAACGCAGTGGCGCTCGGAGGGACGGAGAGGCAGGAAGAACGAAAGAGATAGTCGGTAGCTGGAATAGAGTATAATGTATTCGCGGTATCCGCGGATCGATCCGTTGCCGGGTCGCGAGGCCGAGAAGTAGCGAGACCGTGGTGTTTTCGAAACCGACGTCGAAAACGGTTTTCTTCCGCGGCACCCGGAAAGTGTTTCTTTTAACCCTTAACGGTCGTACGTCACCTCTGACGTGACAACAGTACTTTGTCGCTACGGTCGTATGGCTCGCGTGAGGTAATAAGACGGATCACTCATACATGTGTAATACTGTTCCATAAAGTAAATCGTTTCTAATAAAAATATTGTTCTTACAATATTGAATATTTTTCACATATTTGCTGAAAACAACTATAACTTAGTGAGAATCATGTATACAAAGCTAGCATCTGATAAATCGTGTTTAACCCCTTGCCCTATGATTTATTTCCTAAATGTGATCGATACAAATACGTTGATGATTTATTAAGAAAAAAAAATCTTATAAAAGAATGATAAACTTACACATTTACTCCAAAGGTTAACGATTAATAATAGGAAAGTAATATTTAATTTATTTTTAAAACAAGTAAATAATACTTAGATTTCTCAAATTCAGTTTAAAATTTTCGTCGCGAGTCTGACACGATATTGTAGGTCAAGAGGTTAATCCTTTGAGGTATCGTGTTATTGACCACATCAGGTTTACATGTCTGGGATTGGAAGATGCGATCAAAGAATTGAATGATGTGAACAGTAAAAGATCGGTACATACTTTATTTTCCGGTACTTAAGAGTTTATTTAACTTAGTTTTCTATGGAACAGATTTCGATTGCTTCTAAACATCTCAAGGGTTATCCACGAAGGGTTACTGTCGCATTAACTGCTGTGGTTATTAACGATCATCGTTTCCTTTACATTATTTCCTTCGGTAGGTGAGCTTCTATAAATTTTATAAAATATCCTACTTTGCCTTTCTTCAGGTCTTCCTTTAATAACATGTTGGTGTTGCATTTGGTACAGAGATTATTGTATTTGACGTAATGGAGAAGCGTTCCACAGTAATTGTGCACGTTCATTACAGATGGGTATTGTATCTTTTGATAGAATGTACGAGTGCGAGATTTGTATGGCGGATTCTGATTCTGTTCAATGCCACCTGTTCCAGCTTGATTAATTTATTTAGATGTTTGAATATATGAAAGCCATTGTCTGAGTTTCATGTGTGTGGGACCTGTGTTGTTCCACTCTATTTGCCAGTGCGTCAATATTCTTTTCTTCCTGTGTTTTATCAGGTCATCCGAGTGTAGGCTCTTGTACGTCTGTATTCAGATCGGTGACTGCTTCTTTTTCTGCTTCGTCGGCCTTCTCATCTTCGCTAATTCCAACGTGTGAACAGATTCAGATTAAAATAACTTTTCCCCATGTTCTATTAGTCTTTTATGTATTTACAAATTCTGTATCGTATCGTTCCAAGTTGCGGCATTATTAACCCTTTGCACTCGGGAGGTGACTCTCAGTCACTTGATCTGACGCAAGAAAACTATAACATCTGATATTTAATGTTCAACTTTGTATAATGCCTCGATACGTGACATATTGGAATAAAATACCTTTGTTCCTCAATGTACTTGTGACTTCCCGAGTTAGTTTCAAAGGATATCGTCTTTGTCTTCTCAAAAAATGTTAAATACTTCTAGCGAGAAACTTCCGAGTGCAAAGGGTTAATTGTCGATTATTGCTAACCTTCGGTATCCTTTCCTTCAATTACCTTGAACGGAGGAAAGCGTCGCCGGTAAATTGGCGTAACGTTTTTCTCTTTTTCTTTGATCGCGGCGTTTCGCAGCAATTTTATGACATCGTTCGGCCGCCGCACTCCCTCGTGCAGGCCCGCCGTTTTCACGGTCGAGAGGCGCTGGAGAAATCTGAATGCGAACGATGCGGCGACGCAATTTATTGTTAGGTCCAGGAACGGTAAATTTTTATGGCGTCGTCTAGCGGTTATTTCGCGCGCACGTGCCTCGGAAATCAAAAGCATCCGCGAGTCATGCCGCCGCTAATTTCCTTGACGCGCGAGCGTCGATCGATTCGTGGATCTACCATCCTTGATCAGCAAATTGGGGTCACCTACAGGTTTCAACGTTTCTCACGGTAATTGGGTATTATCAGTCTGAAAGGTAATTTGATGAGTATTATTTATCGCAACGTAATGAGCTACGCAAGGAAACTATGTCTGAGTTAGAGAAAATTAACCCTTTGCATTCCAGGGTCGCCTCTCAGTCGACAATTGCTTTGACACAGCGAAACTGTGAAGTTTGATAATTAATATTAAACTTCGTATAATGCATCAATATATTAGATATTAAAAGAAAATAGTTTTCCTCAATGTAAGTACGATTTCCTGAGAAGTCAATTTCAGAAAATGTCATCTGCATCTCATTAGAAAATATTGAGTGTTCTCAGTGGGATGCTTCTAGAGTACAAAGGGTTAACCTCTTGGCGTATTATTTACTTCCGCTATTAAGCTCGAGCAGCATTTTACTATCGACAATTTGGAAAAAACGTAACAAAATTTTCTGTTCTACTTTAAGCGAAAAATTTCATTTGAAGATAATAAAGTGATAATAGCAAAACAGTTTCTTGCTTTGATCCGTGGAAAACGAACCACATTGAGTTTTGTTAAATTAATCTAGAAATCTTCATCACAAGTCTCACTCATCTTATCATCAATTGAATTGTATGGCAATGGGTTAATATAAGTAAACTGATCTTTTCCAAGCTCGAGGCTGATTATCAACGATGACAGGTTTGTTGATCAAGGACTGAAATAAAAGTCGGTTCGCTTTTTGGATAATTCGAGTCGTAGACATCACCGCGCTGACCGTCGAGCGGAAACGATAGGCGTCGTTCGAAAGGGATGCGGACGGAAAGCGCAACACGCTTCCTCGGGAATTTTGGTCGTTCGATTTAACGAGCGCGCCGCGTGCTACTCGGCACGGTACGAGCGCACCGTTAATTGCTTCGGTGGAATTGAGTCGACTCGGCCGTGCGCGCGGTACAATCAAGCCAAGTATGTATATTCCCATGAAAAAAGTTGCACGTTCCTCGAGTAACTACGATCCGGGCTGACGTTCCGAGTTAGGTAGCTGTTGGACGGCTGCGTATCGTCCCCGGTGTTTTCGGCGGATCGATTTCTTTCTCCGAGCGAAAAAACAGGAGGTCGATTAATTCTCGCGTAGAAATCCACCGTAACGAAGGGAGCCAATCGTTGTTCGTTTTGGCGACGTTCGAGCTCGTTCGCTTAAAACTCGAGAATCGATGCCGTTTCGCGTCCGCGCATCCGTAATGGATTCAGGGCACAGAATTTTACTCGACTGCCCGACCGAACAGCGAACTACGTTAATTACTAGCGGAATGATTCACGTTCCTCCGAAGATCGGTAAATATCCGCGAACTCTGTCGATCGTGCATTCCAGTTCCCGAATATCCGTTGCACCCGCGATCGAGGTAAACACGATTTTGCACCGTGCCGCGCGCGACGTTCGATTCGCTTCGTGAACGTTCCTTATTTCTTAAGTTATTAACCCTTTGCACTCGAAAGTGTTTCAGTAGAGATATTCAACGTTTTCCAATCAGATACACATGACATTCTTTAAATCTAACTAATCAGAAAACACATATGAACTAAGAAACCAAGCTATTTTATTTCAGTATTTCATATACCGATGCATTGTAGGGAGTATAATATCATACATAAGACTTTATAATTTTCCTCTATCGAATCAAGTGACAACTGAAAGTCACCACTCGAGTGCAAAGGGTTGACACTAGGTTTACCGGGCGCAACATTTTAATACATTTCAAACTTCCGTAGTTTGTCCCGGATATAGTGTTTTATGGCTGTACAAGAAGACGTACCATATTTTCCCGAAAGCCATAAACGGAAAATCGCGGCGAAGACATTGAACAGCAACCTGCCGGTGCAGTTAGAATGAAAATGTAAAGGGTTTGCATTAGTCTATGCCTCTTTCGCCTTGTGTTCCGTTAATGCCCCGGAAGTCAGTCGGAAATATTGTCTATTTCCCGTTAAGAGAGGGATCGATCGTGTCGGGTTCTAACAGGTCTCCCAACGGTGAGATTTTGTGTAGCCGGCTATTGTTGCGCGACGTAACACGAACCAATCGATACACCGACCGAAATTCCGACTGTCGAGAGCGTACAACTTGTCGAATATTTTCTGAACACGCAGCCTTAATCTCGCACGCGTTTCTGCTTTCAGGAGTGGAACGATTATAAGTTGAAGTGGAACCCGGACGACTATGGCGGTGTCGACACCCTCCACGTGCCGTCGGAGCATATATGGCTGCCGGACATTGTTCTTTACAACAAGTAAGTGCTTTTCACGAGATTTCAGTCGAGAGAACGATCGAGATTTCAGACCGTAAACGGGACCAAGCGTGTATCGGTTGGCTATTAAACGACCGAAAAAACGTATTGTCGCTGGCCGAAACAATTTTCCGCTCAACGTCTTGCGCGAGCAAGGCAGGTCGGCCCGCCGAAGCAATTTGTCCGACCGATTTTATTTTTATAACCGGGAACGACCACTTTAAACAGCTGCTCGATACTCTTGCCGAGGATATTGCGAGACGTCCGCGCACGACGGGTGTCCCATACTTCTTCGATCGTCGAACGTGTCGAGTTCATAACGGAACTCCTTAAATTTTATACCTGTTCGTTTGAATCTCAAGGAATTACTAAAAGATCCAGAATTTACTGGGATTCTTAAGAACAATGGAAAATAAGAGATTTTATAGCATTCCTTTCATTCGAATCCGTGGGATTGAGACAACTCGATTGTGGAACAAGACTCGCCTAATTTTCCCCTCCGTCGTTGTTCACTCGTCTGTAGATATAACAGGAGCAGACGTCCGTGCGACTGGATTTCCCGATGTGTAATCCGAACTCTTTTGGTAATAAGAGTTCGGTTTGCTCGGCTGTTTCGACGAAATTAGCTCGGATAAACAAAGTTCGGATAAATGGAGTTTCGGTGTTGGTATATTGGGTGACGTACCACCGGTGCCTGTATCCCGGACATCCGTTCGGGTTAATCCGGTGCAGGTTGATCCCGTTTCCTCCTTTCTTTCGCGGGAGACGGGCGTGTATCGGGCCGGTTACAGAGCAGCAGAGCTGGTCGTCCGTCACCTTGGTCCCACCATGCTTCATAGGATTTTAGCGCGGAGGAAAGTGCAGAGGACGGTACCTCGTAAACCTGCCGTGGAATATTCGAGGACGGTACGTGACGGTTTCACTGGCATCCGGTAAGGCCATTTTGAGAATCCACGGCCGGGAGAACGGGTCACCACATACGTTGCGCGTATCCCTCGGCCGGCTAACGCTGAGAAATAGGATGTAGTTCGCCGCACGGACGACACTTTTACGAGGAAGCTGGGCCACAGGACCGACCCCGAACAACGTCATTCGTTCAACCACGATGCCTTCTATTCGCGTGCCCCCACGACTTCGTCACCGGTTATCGCCTCGCCCGGCGGGATTCCCCTTTGTGGCTGACGGACGACGATCCGGGTCGAGCCGCTAAAATCGACTTTACGTTGCTTCCGGGATGAGTCTAGTTAACATCGGGAACCGGTCACGCTCGTTTCGCTCTATTAAGAGTATGTAATCTCCGCGCGAGTCGTGACTGCTCGAGATTTCGATCCCTCGCGGAGGAGGATCGCTCGAAGCGTTCATGCCTTCAGCGGAAGAAGCTGAGTTAGACGGACTCTTAAGCTTTTGCACTCGAAAGTTCATTAGAAATATTCAGCGTTTTATCGGATATAGACGATCTTCTTTGAAATTAATTATGAGAACAGTTAATATCATATATATTTATGCTAAGTATTGGAAAAGGGTGATGAAATAATGAAACAATATATATATTTTATAGTGTGACTTTATTGTAACGGCTTTGAAAAACACGTCTAGCTCTTTCAAGTTCTCGAATGCGAATGACTCGGAACAACCAAAAGTAAGTTGGGGTCCGCTTTTCTTTACAAGACCGTTTATGGCCTTGCCTGGAGAAAAGTCTCTTGACACGTGACAAAATCCAGATACATCTGATTGCTTTTCTATCGCCTTTGTTTAGACTAAAGATATATGAACGTTGGGCATTTTTGCTTTTGCTAGCTTAGCATTAGTAATAATACGATACTAATAATATATCAAAGTAGTCATCTTTATATTCGAGATACGAAAGTTCGATGTCGCCGAAGCAATGACATTCGTTATCAAGATATTCATTCGCGGTCGTTTCGTCTGGAGATAGTAGAATCCATCTGTATTTATCGTCGATTACCAAGGAACTAGAGAAGCCAAGACTCGGGGCATACGTTGATCGGGTCACGTCGCATAGTTTCAATTACTTGGACGAGGGAAATCGATTGTCCTGGAGGCGCGACGGCTCGAAAGGCTCAAAGTATACCCAGGCTTTGTAGCCCGATAGCATGCAAATGCATCCTGGCCGTACTCGGCCTCGATCGCGATTCGGTAGCGGGGCGAGTAATTTATATGGAACACTCGAATCCGATTAATAATTCACCGAGATTCGATGAAGTTTCCGGTGAAAGGGAAGTGCCTGTTCGAAATGAAATTCAGCGGAACCGTACCTCGAGCCGGGTTAGGTATGAAAACGATTCTTCCGATTACAGGATATCGAGATTTCCCCGATATAGTAATGTGCCGTGTTGTTTGGAGCAGGAGGAGGGGGGAGGATGAATTTCGATGGCGTCGTTCGTTTGACGCGGCCAAGACTCGGCGAGCTTGCTCCTTTGCCCAGCACACCTTTGACCGTTTTATCGAATTTCATGTCCCTGTCGTCGGCGATTCGCTGTTTAATAACTTGGCCGCGGTGTTGTGTCGCGCGAATGAAAGTTTCCCGATTGCCCCGGCAAGCTTTGAACGGTCGGCCACCGAGGGGAATTGAATTATTAACTCTTTCACGGAGATATCAATTTTTCCGATGGACCGGCATGCCAGAAATTCCGCTCTGAATTGGAAATTTCGCGATAAGAGAGTAGGAAACACTGGGCAAGAGCGTGCGCGTATCGTTTCAACGACAACGGCCGAGTTAAAAGCAACCGAGTTACGAACGGTGGGCGTCTCGAACGAGGGGAGGATGATTATCGGTTTTCGGAATAACTTGCCTGATTAACTCTTCTCGCGTACAAGTTTGAGGTTGACGCAGACTCTCGGCCGGCACGGGCTCCCAGCAACTCTCGACGAGCA